TTGTCCTAACTTTGCATTCTGATGCCGCTGTTTGCTCCCGCCGAGTCGATTGCCACGAAACACGGACTGAGACCGGCAGACGTGTACCGAGAAAGCTTTGAAAGCTGTTCCTCCTCTTCCTCCCCCCCCCCCCCCTCTCTCTCTCTTTGTCTCTCTCTTTCTCTCGATTACTGAGCAGCAGATTAATCTGATGTTGACGGTAGATCCCGGACATCGTGATCTATATTTCGCTTGAGGTTTTCGAGGAATCCGTGGAATGATCTCAATGCGAAAGCGAAGCAAGCGAAAATAGGACGGAAAATAGGAAACAGTGATAATGTTGAATCGATATGGGTATTTTATAGTTTACTCCTGCGAATTGGGAGTAGAAGACAAAGATGATTTTTTTTATCCCATTTTTAAATGATAAATTAATATAAAAGAATTTTTTGGACCTGCATTTGTTCAAGATCTTTTCAAATTAGATGTTGATAAAAATGATTATTTTTGATTCACGAAAGTCTTTAAATAATTTGTCATATTTTTATTAAAAAAATTATGTAATACATAATTTAGCAAGTTAATATAATGTGAAGAATGAATTAGTAAATTCTTCGACATGGAAAATTAAAATTTTTTCTTTTCCTTAGCAGAGAGAAAAAAGACGTGACTTATTTGGAAGCTTGTACAAATTTGTACATATAAATTTAATACATGCTAATGTTATAAATATATCGTATACTTTGTGAAAATACTTTATTTTTTTATGTATCATTTATTAAAATTGTGTATCACATATTGTATTATGCATTATAATTGTTTCGTACATAAGAAGAAATATAATTAATCTATTATCTAATTATTAATTTACAACAATTTTATTGATAATAACATTAAAGAAAAAGACATAAGAGTGAGAATATATTTAAACTATTATTATACATTTTTTATAAATTGAAATAGATTTTTGAAAAATGAACGAAAATATTAGCCAACTACCCTTAAGCAAGCCTTTGAAAGAGCAACCCGATATACAAGAGTATTTCCGTTTAGGTGCTGCATGATTGTCCTTACCTGAGATTTCGTTTGCATCGTTACAGCTTCACGCTAGATGGCACAATTGATTCCTTATTAAACAGTTACGCGATTTTTAGCGGCACGACGGCTGTAAATATAAATAAGTAAATATGGTACATATATACATTTTTTTCTTTACGACATTTTATTTAATTGTAAATTATAAATTTAAAATCCAACTAATATTAAAGATATGATAATGAATAGATTTATTATAATAGAATATTTCTATTATATTTATTGGTAGCGAAATAAAAAAATACTAGAATATTTCTTCTGTTATCAAGAACGATGTGACGTCATGAATTCATTTTAATTATGTTTTAAACTGTTGCGAAACGCATTATGCAATGGGCGGCGAATGATAGTGACTCGGGATAGTGACGAGTTAAACAATTTATGTAACGAGCTTTCTACGCGCACGTTTGACAGACGCGTATCGGAAATTAATGTCGCAGACAAATAATTATAAGAGTCTCATTTTCCAAAGAATTAACCATGATAACTTATAAAATATATATAATTAATTACAAATGACTTCATAAATACAAATAAAAAAAAGCGTGTGATTATAATCACCCGCGCGAAAAATTTTGACTTTTCTAGAAATTTAGAAATTTAAAATTATAAATATATTAAAATTGATAAAAATTTTATATTTAAATCGATCGAACATCTAAACCCGTTATTATTATTTATTATTGATTCTGAAGATATTATATCGAAAAGTTAAAAAGCACAAAATGTCCATAAATTATTGTTTTATTAAAAAATTTGAAACATACGTATTATAGTAGACATAGAGTATATATACTTACAAAGAAGCTTTAAGCATCTTTAAGCAATATCTATAAGGATTAATTCGTTACACAATTGGCATCAAGACTGAAAGGATAGATAGGCAAGAGGAAGAATGAAAGAATGAAAGCAACTCAAATAGTATAGGTTATTTAAAAACAATGTCGTTTATTTGAATCGCACAAGACATACACCGTATCTGCTATGTTTACAATTAGGGACCCCTGCGAGGTAAAGCTCGGCCAACGTTTGTCGCAAGCCTCGGCCGGAGTTTACTCGGAGATGCCTGGGCTTTTTTTTTTATTCTTCATATTGCCTTAATGTCGATTCTCGGTTAAAAGTGTTCAATTCCAGGTTTAACCCGGTCACATATTCTGTCCCTAGAAACCGAGCTTCGGATTATTTACCCTGGATCAGAAGATTTCCTAAAAATCCAATTTCCCTGCTACAATATTATCGTTCCCTTTTGCATCTCTTTTTCCCGTAATCGACTCTATGGAAAAAAATTCTTCCGTTCGCTCTCTCTTATTATAATTATAGGAAATACTTCGTAGCTTTAAATTATATCGACTGCCTAGATACTTTGCTCGACTATACTCCTGATGTTCATTCTGGGATTATCTTTTAGCATTTTATGTGATTTACCCTGTAGAAACGTTAGAAACCAACCGGAGGATACGACGGGACAGTCAGATTAATTTATTATCAATACATCAATTATCAATAATCGAGATAATGAGGAGTTTATGGAATATCATATTTTAGATTACACATTAAACACCGTTTCGCGACTGGTGCGAACGAAGCAGAAATTGTCAGTAGCAATCTCCATATCGGACTCGCATTACGATTTATCACGACTACAGCGTTTACCGTGTATCTCACTAGCATAAGGATATTCTTCCGTGTCGTCTAAATTCATTATTGTCCTCGTCGCATCCCGCCGGTCCGATCGCCCGCCGCGAGATTTGCAGTTGACACATGTCACTCCTTTGTTTTGATGAGGCAGGGAATTTGGTCCTATGTGGGATAAACGTGAATAAAAAAAAAAAAGGAAGTAGAGAAGGAGGAAGAATTTTCCGAAATCAAAGTACGCGTATTCGTGTATGGTGACGTGCCGCAGAATTTTTATTTCATCGATTACACACACGGTGCTCGATCAAAAATTTCTCTCTCTCTCTTTCTCTCTCTCTTTCTCTCTCGCTCTCTTTCTCTCTCCATTCATTCCGCGAATTTTCGAAGGGGATTATCATCCCCATATCTCGCTCGATCGTTTTAGATCCAATTTCCGTTCACGATCATTGTGAACGACAAAACACGTCGTTGCACAAAAAAAGAAAAAAAAATTGTCGTAAACTTATCATTTTTTTTTATTATGATCATTAAATAACTTTTCGACGATGCGGCTCTCTTTCTGCTTCCGAATCATCGCTACGGGCAGTGCCATTATTTACAGTATATTGTATAAACGCGGAGCCTGGCATGTACGTATTTCAGGAATCAATCTAACAAACTTTTAACTAGATAACGAGAGATTTTTTTTTTATCTAGGGCCGTACACGTCTAACACCGAGAGAACTATCTGATATGAGTTTTTTTAAATCGCCTTTATGCTCTTTCTCGCGTTCTCACCATCGACCTCACGCACACGCGCAACATTCATCCCCGGAACGAGAAGGTAACACGCACAATGAAATCACATAAAGACACGCAATCACATCGATACTCGCATTCTTTCGTCGTCTCTCTCACGTATCGCGAAATTATTTTCGTTTTTACCTTATTGCCTACGTATATTTATATATATATGTATATATATATATATATCTCTCTTTAGGAACAGTTCTCTTCGAAAACGTTTATGTCGACGGGGCGTCGTTGAGAAAAAGAAAAGAAAGGGTAGAAAGAAAAATTATTTCGCTACTTAAAACGGAACGCAAAAACTTGTAGAACAATCGTCGCGTCGCCCGAAAGCCTCAGTCTTGGACGAGGACGAGAGAAAACGGAAATTCGATTCTGATTGCGCCTCGGTCAGGCCGCGGGACGATTTTCGCTGGATCAATATTTAGTATCGATCCCGCGAAAGCCGAGCACGGTTCGACACCGTGGCGACAATAAATATAATCAACGAACAAAGCACGCTGATGATATTCTTGATGTAGCTGCGAGGTGATCATCGAAGCAGGAATTCTTCAACCGATTGGAGTATTTTTTTCCAAGATTGTCCGTAGGATCGATTAATTTATCAGTTTAGATTATGATCAGTATCAAGACAGTCTTTAGTGAGAAATGCAGTTTCTACAATTTTTCTGATTAAACAATTCCTCTACCTCAATGGGCACGTCGCGCGATGCAAAATCAGCGGCTATAAACCTAAACAACTTTGGCATTTCCTTAACCTTTAAAAACATCTGCGATAATAATTTAATATCGGAATAAAATAATGAAAGCGGCGCTTAAACTTACTGCAACCGTAATGATAATAGTGACAAATGTAATAATATAATGGTAATAATAATAATAGCAATAATAGTAATAATGACAATAATAATCATGTTACAAAACAATAATAATGTTAATAATAATAAAGACAATATAATAAGTGCAATAATAATATTAATAATAAAGGTAATAAAGTCGCCGATAATAGATATAATTACATTGTACATAGGATCGAGCTAGAATTTATAGATACTAGCTTCTCTTTTCATCATATATTACTTAAATCAAATATTCTCAATTATCCTATTACATATTGATATATGTATGTATATATATATATATATATATATAAAACAATATATATATATATATATATATATATATATATATAATAAAAACACATACACAAAAATG